TTAATACGTTAATTATTATTATTATACAAACCAACCAACACATAACACCACATAACTACTTCTTATATGCTTAACATAATTATTATGATTAACTATTATTATTATCATGACTACTATTACTATTCATTAAAATTTATACACCAATGAAATTTACTTTTGACATACATTCATTCATCTATACTTACATATGAAAACCATGGAAAATTGTCCCACATAAAACTACATACATACATATTGAATATGAAAACAAAAAAAAAAAACACAATTAGCGAATAAGTTATTTTTTGGAAAATCAAACCAAAATAACAATTGTAACCGAATTCTAAAATTCAAAAGTGTTAATTTTTTTGTTATACGTATATTTTTTGGAAGTTTTTTTTTTCATATGATTTATATTATTAATTACCGTTTTAATTTATAAGAGATTTTTTTGGATTGTTTACAAACGAAAAATCATTGTAAATCATATACAACAACTATTATTGCATATTAATTATTAATATTATTATTGAGAAGAATATAAAGAACATAGTCATAAAAGAAATCGAAAGAAAACAAACAGAAACAACAACAACAATATAGTAAAATATTACTTTTGTAAATAAAAAAATATTGTTTGTTTTATTTATTACACTTAAGGCACGTTTTCATTTACTAAATGGAGTGGTAAATGGTAAAAAAATGGTCAAATTTATTGCGCCAATGCCTCGAATGAAATTGACTTTCAAATCGAGGGGATTTCACTTGGCACATCAATGTTTGGGAACATTTATGGTAGAAGAATACAGGAAAAGAAAAAGAAAACTTGAACAAATCTACTTATTAAAAAACTTTTAACAATTTTGACATATTAATGTTCCCAAGCGTTGATGCATCTACCTGTATTCTTCTACCATGGGAACATTAATATGTGACAAAGACATAAAACTATAAAGACTGGACAAAATGCATATGAGTTTTAATTTTTCTATTAGGTAGTAGATGGCAAGTGACATAACAGAAATGCATTGGAAATTTTAGAAAAATTTGTTATTCCGAAATCGCCGAAAAGTGGCGGAAATACGAGAAAAAAATATCAGATATTATAGAAATGCTCTTCCAGAGCATTTCCATGTACATTGAATTGATAAAAATCAACAACAACCCTTAAAAAGTGATGCTCTGTTAATTTATAACATAATGCTATGTCACGATATCGATATCCTTTTTTCAAAAATTTTATTTCTTGATTTTAAAGGGAATTTATACAAAATTCCCACCTCTGCATTTTCTGTAATTTACCTTGTCAATTTTCAATGCATAAAAAAGTGCGCATCTCTGATTTGTGTATATACAATGGATTTATGGATGTAAATTTTGACAATGAAATGTTGTCAAAGGTATAATATTGAAAAAATTGTAAACATATGATTACATGACTTTACCTTCTTAGTTCTACCATGATAAGTAGTAGAAATTATTGTTTTTCTCCCATAGATTTATTATATCGTTAATTTTACTATTTTCATTCACGTTTTCAACTTTTTGTGTAAATATTGAGATTTTGAACATATTTTTGTATTTTTCTATTTTTAAATTCTGCTGGAGAGACACTTGTCAAATATTTTTTCTGCCAATACAAACATTTTGAAAATATTGCCTATTTTGTTTACAGTTTTCTGTGGAAATTTCAACTCGTGGACAAAATGCGTACCTCGAACGAGAGAGAAAACAAAATGTACTTTCGTTTGAATGTACATATGCCATTCAACATTGTAGTTTTCATTCATAATTTTCAGTCGTACCAAAATTTTTCAAAATTTCATAAAATTTTTCTATTTTCAATTTGTATATGTCATAATTTATTTTTTCGATAAATGCTCTCATTTGTTAGGGATGGGACATATATTTTCGTTGTTCTGAGAGTGATTTGATTTGAACAATGTACAAAAATGAGTGTTCGCTCAGGATTTTGTGTGAAGAATTAGGTAGTTTTTTCATAGTTACGGGTCAAACAACGAATAGAGAGCGAATCAAGTGCAGTAGAACGCCACATTAATTACAGTGCCCTAGGCTAATAATTTCAATGGCAGTAAGAACATGACATTAATGTAAGGCAAAACGATTCAACTACAAATCGATTTATATTAACCTATTTGTCGAAAGTCGACGTATGTGTCCCTAGTTTTCATTTGTAAACAATAATAAGCAGGGACACCACACGTGCAATCCTTGGGCATAGCAATGGAAAATTCCGGGATAGAACAGCCAGCGGAGAAAAAGTTGAAAGAGGATGTATCAACCGTAGTAATTCCAAGTGCCCCTGGCTTTACTCCACCAACTCCGAACAGTAAAAACCAACTGAAAAAGCAAAAGAAACTGGAGCAACAACTGCTGCAGCGCAAGGAAAAGCGAAAGCAAGTAGGAATAGTCATTGATTTGTAGTCCTTAAGAAGTCATGACCCTCTAAATTATACGATTTTATTTTTAGGAAAAAGAACGTCAAAAACAAAAACGCCGAGAAGCTGCCGAAAAAGGTTTGCCCGTACGTAATGGCCCATCGAGAAAAGACCTGAAGAGACGTCTTGAAAAAGTCGGTGAACAGGAAAACCCTTTGCGTATTGTTATTGATTTAGATTGTGACGATCTGATGAATGAACGTGATATGGCAAAATGTGTGAAACAATGCCTGCGAATTTACACAATCAACCGTCGATCAGAGTGTCCTGTACAACTGCATTTTACTGGTATTAAAACTGAAGGCAATATACATAGAGTGCTTAAGAAAAACGACGGCTGGGAAAATTGGCATTTAAAATATCACTTTGATGAGACACATTTAGAGGCCTTTGACAATAAGGAGTTGATATATCTAACCAGCGAATCAGATACTGTGCTTGACAGTTTGGATGCCCAAAATGTGTATGTCATTGGCGGTCTAGTCGATCACAATCATCATAAAAACTATTGTCATGATCGTGCAACAAAAGCGGGCTTAAGAACGGCACGTCTTCCGCTGGGAGAATATGTGGATATGAAGACGAGGGCAGTGCTAACAACGTTTCATGGTATGTAATAAAAACAGAGATTATATCAAGGAATTAATATAAAATTTTATTTTAGTTTTCGAAATACTGGTACGTGTGGCCGAAGGTAAAAGTTGGACTGATGCTATCTTGCAAACAATACCACCAAGAAAAGGTGCCAAACCTAAGCAGATAGCTGGAAATACTGCAGAAAACAAAGAGGAAAATGTTAACGATGTTGGAAATCACAATACTGCCGGTGACACAGAGGATAGTAACCAAACAAAAGATACAGAAACGGAAAATAGTAATAGTGACAAAGTTGAAAGTTCAGATCCAAATTGTAATAATGCAAATGATGGTCAAGAATCATCTAAAAAGGAATTTATTGACGAGAGATAATAAAGGTTTAAATTACTCCATCTGGGTAATAAACTCATAAAAATCAACTGACAGAAAGTTATTTAAAGTCCAACTTATAATAAAATGTGGGATGCAATGCAAATCACAGCGCAAAAAAACAGACTTTGATTCCTAAGATGCAGAAATTCTAAAAAAGATTCTTTACTCTTCCTAAGTTCAAGATCGGAATAACCGCTCAACTCGTTCAAAAATTCTTGATATCTAAATGTTAAAGTAACATCATAAAAATGCATTTTCAAAATGGAACGTCTAAAGTTCACCCTGTAATTCTGCCTTTATGTCATTGACTGATAGATGATTTGGAGTTGTAACATTGCAGCTATTTGGGACCCAAAAATGATTTACGCAATAGAGACTAGATAGTACTTAGTCACTTCAAGGCACTATTGACCAACCTCTACCTATAATTATCTTTGGGTTGTTAGAATGTCAACCATCATTTGGGCTTCCTTGCCCATACATTGCTGTTGGACATGATTATATTTTATGTTAACAAGTAAAAAAGCTGTAAGTTCGGCAGGGCCGAACTTTGAATACCCTCCCCATTTGGAACGAATTTTGCAATTCTCAAAAACAATAAAATACGTTAAAAATTCTGTTCAAATCTTAAAAATGCCGAATACTGTTATATTAGGGTCTACATGACGACATGGATCTGCATAGGTAACTTTCGCCATAAGCCATTACAATATTCAAATGCAAACTTAAAAAAAAATCCGTGAATAATGTACTTTATATCATCAAAATACCGAATATCGGGACGTGCCGTTATATGGGGGCTATACGAAGACGTGGACCTTCACAGACAATTTTGTCTTAGGCTGTAGTATACATATCGAACTTCAAATACCGAATTTGAAACAATTCCTGTAAATAATGTCGCTAAAATTATTAAAATACCGAATATTGGGAGGTACCGTTATATGGTTGCTATACCAAAACATGGACCTACATAGCCCATTTTCAAGTCTGCAGGACTTTTGGTAATAATATACATTTGAGTAAAATTTTATCAATTTACTTCATTTCGTTCGGAAGCTAGAGTGATTTCCGCAGACGGGCAGACGGATAGACGTACTGACATCGCTAAATCGACATAGAGTTTATGCTGATCAAAAATATATATACTTTGTGGGGTCTAAAAAATATATATCGAGGTGTTACAAACGGAATGACAAACTTAATATGCCCTCCATACTATGGTGGAGGTTATAAAAATATGCAATCATAAGATTGACCATGAAGCATACATTACGAGAATTCAAATAAAATACAAAATGAAAAATGTTGCTATTAAATTCCTTCATTCGTAGATAATTTTTAAAACCTATGTCTTGCCTTTTAGCACTTCTGATTTTTTAAATGAAATCAGGATATTCCTAGACAGTTAGACCAATATTTGGATTTCATTGTTTGGATTTTAAATACTGTCATACAGCTGACTATCTGTTTGTTGTAGCAGGCTCAACTCTCTAAATTCCAAATGGGCTGAGAAGATACTTTTGGGACGAGTGGAGTAACTACAGATCGTTCTTAAATGTAGTGGTCATTTTCCAGGTTTTAAGATAGACATTTTAAATAGCTTATATATTAAAAGCAAGAGATAAGACATTATTGTTTTCTTTAACTCTCTATTTATTTTCTAAATTAGTCTTTATAATGTAATCCAATTGCACGGCGTACAGGTTTATCTAAAAGTTAAAATAAATTAATATGGTATCACATTATCATCTAATCACAACATTTCTTACCGTTTCCTGTACAAACATGGTTTCAGCTGCAACGCTGGCACATTGGCCACCTTGCCAACATTGCGAACTTTTTTGAATTGGAAAAAGTAGAAAACCTTTTGTCCAACATCTTGATTAAGCAACGTAAAACCAAAGGAGTCTAGCTTCCGTACAAAATCTTTGACATTATCGAAACGTGATTGAATCTCAGCCACATACATCAGGCCATCCATTTTCAGAACACGATTCGCCTCCAAAAGGTAATCTTTTAGATTTGTACCCATCAAAGACAAACAATACACAGCAACATCCAAAGATTGGGTATTTAGCGGTGTATTGGCCATATCACAGGAAATTATATCGTCGCGACAACTAACCAAATCCATGGAGTATACTTTGTGGGGTACAGATTTTGCCAGCATGCCCTCACCACAACCAAAGTCACCAATCTCCAAGGACTTGGGTAGTTTCTTAACCATTTTAATAATACGATTCAATGGATTTAATGGCCATTTTTCGACTTGGTGCCGATAACCGTCGTGATATGCTTTAAAGGCCTCTGGATCTGATTTGAAAAGTTGTTCGGCCTTCTTGCTGTTCATGGTGTACAGCTGTTCGTTGAGAAAACGAAATCGTCCACCCATTAGCTGTTCCTTCAACTTGGCCTCGAAGGCACTTACACCGCCAGCAGCCCCCATAGATGTGGATTGTTTTTCTTCGGCATCTTCTAACAATGATTCCTTGGCTGCCTCCAATAAGGCCGGAGTTGGCTTAATTTGTTTTTGTTGTTGTTTCTGCTTTTTATTATTCTTTTTCTTGTCGACTTTTCCTTCCTTAACTCTTCTCACTGTAGTCATTGTTTCATCATCGTCGGATTCCATTGGCATAGGTGGTGCAAGTGGGCCTCTTCCAGTGACTTCACTTTTGGGTTTTGCTTTGTTTTTCTTTTTCTTGTTTTTCTTCATTTTTCCACTGGCACTGGTGTCACTTTGGGCAGTGGGTTTAAATTTAACAGCATCGGCATTCTTGCCAAAAGAACTTGGAACGAAGAATTTCATTTTATAAATACACTGAATTTGATTTCCTTTTCTTCCGAGGTAAAGGTAAATAAACAATTACACTACACGTGCAGGCCTACACAATCGTCCAGCGAATGAAGGAAGAAGCAAAATATCTTATGTATAGAAAGTGGAAGAGCCAACACGCCGCAACAGCTGTCTATTCACAGTAGAAGTGATTGAACGAGTGTTTACGAAGTGTGGATGGCATAATGAGCGTCAATTTTAGGAATTTATAGGTCGATAAGTGGTTTACTTTAGTTAGTGAGGACACAAACCGATAAGTAATATCGTGGATGATCTGTAGTGTACAGTACAAACTAGATATCATTAATGGATGTGTGTGTACGGTTACCCTAATATTTGTTATATTTTGCTTAAATTAGGTCTGTCTGGTTACTTTTTCCTACAGAAATTATCAAGCAACTTCTTTCAGAGAGAGAGAGAGAGAGAGAGAGTAAGGTAGTTTTATTCTCTGTTGCAAGAATGCGAAATCGCTGCCAAAACATACAATCAATCAGCTGATTTGTCAAAACAAAAAACTGTTTCCACCAAAAAAGAAAGAACCGAAGAATCTTTGGTTTGGTTTTAGAAAGAAACAAAATGAATCAAAGCCTGACGAATTTTCTGACTCGTGGGAAATGTGAACCGTTTTTAAAATTCTTTCAATATGCTTTGATTTAGAAACCACAAGAATGTAAAAATAAAATAAATAAATAAAAATTGCTCTGTTCCAGTACCTGAATATAGTGTAATTTTCTTCGATATTAAAAAAGGGAAAATCCGTCATTGTAGTAAAAACTTTTACATTCTTGCAGTTCGGCAACATACCAAATTACGATAACCGATTTTTTTCTTTATATTTGACAACGATTTTTGCACAATTTTTTATCGAGAACTCGAAAAATTTGTTTAGTAAAGCTTTGTAAGTACAACCAGTTAAATTTTTCAGTAATTTTTTTAAAATTTTTCCAGTGGTGATATTATGGACTAGTGTTCTATAGTTCGTTATAAAATAACAAGAGCTTTATTAATAAACTAAATTGGACATCCAGAGACCTCTAGGAGGAATAAACAGACATGTTGGTATGTTCCAGGACTGCAAGAATGTAAAAGTTTTTACTACGATAACCGATTTTCCCTTTATGATAACAAAAAAAAATGCTGTAGATTCTTGTAGGTTTTGGAACAGAGCAAAAATGTGTAATCTGGCCCTAAGTAAACTAATTTTCAAAATGTTTGCCCTGATTTCGGGAAGGTATTTTTATACCCTACACCACATGGTGGTAAGGGTATTATGTTTTTGTGCATTTGTTTGTAACATGGAGAAGGAAGCGAGATAGACCCATACATACTTTTGAGATTCTTCAGAGAATCATTTTCTGATTTATGCATGTCAGTCCGTCCGGCTCTCCGGCTGCCCATGTATTTTTGTGAACAAAATGTAGGTCGCATTTATTATCCGATTGAGATTAAATTTTCCAAACAATATTTGTTTGACACAAGGGTGAACCCTATTGAAAATGGTGATAATCGGATCAGATTTAGATATAGCTCCCATATATATCTTCAACTGATTTTGGGTTAATTGTGCACCAAATGGCCAATATCAGTCCAAATGACGTGATTTTTTACACATCCGACCGAATTCAGTCTAGAAGCAAGTAAATCAAATTTGTAGAAAATCGGTTCAGATATAGCTACAGCTCCCATATATATATGTTTCATCCGATTTGAGGTTTTAAGTCCCTCACATGCGTAATATGCACTCCACAACAATGGGATTTGACACCGGGCATCAGGCACTGCTCGAAAATACTTCTGCCAAAATTTATCGAGATCGGTTCAGATTTTTATAAAGCATCGATAAACATCTTCATCCGATTTTACGGTTATTGCCCACGATATATGTAATATCAGCCCAAATTGAATAGATTTTTATACCCTTCACCATAGTATGGAGGGTATATTAAGTGTGTCATTCCGTTTGTAAAACGTCGAAATATAAAATTCTATTTCGATTAAGCGATGTCCGTGCGTCTGTCTCTCTGTAGAAATCACTCTAGCTTCCGAACGATATAAAGTAGGTTGTTAACATTTTGACCGGAATTGTTTCAAATTTGGTATTTGAAGTTCGTAATGGGTAATACAGCCTATGACTGAAAATTGTTTGTGCAGGTCCACATCTTCGTATAGCCCCCACATAACGGTACATCCTGATATTCGATATTTAGATGATTTTAGCGACATTATTTACCGAAATTGTTTCAAATTTAGTATTTGAAGTTCGTAGTGGGTACTACAGCCTGTGGCAGAAAATTTTCTGTGCAGTTCTACGTCTTCGTATAGCCCCCTATATAACGGTATCTACCGATATTCGGTATTTTGATAATATAAGCGACATTATTCAACGGAATTGTTTCAAATTTCGTATTTGAAGTTCGGAAATTACTTATGCAGGTCCACGTTTGTGTATAGCCCCCATATAACGGTTTTCATTTAAGATGTATTTTTCGACGGTTTTTTTTAATTAATCAAGACCCTTCAAAGAGGCGGAGGGTATTAAAAGTTTGGCCCGGTCAAACTTAGCTGCGTTTTTTCTTGTTTTATATTTAACCGAATTTTACCATTTTACTCGGTCCTATTACTCCAATAAATATTTTTGTAATATAATCCTTATCTAAGTCATATCATGCACTATACAACAATGTTATTTAGTTCATAGTTGGGTTGATCTACTGCACATAAATTCCCAAATAAACTTTTTTGTTTGCGGGAGGCTCTACTAAATGCACATAGTGGTGTAGGGTATCATATAGTCGGCCCCGCCCGACTTTTGACCTTTCCTTACTGGGGTTTTCTTTGGAGTGGGCTGTCAAGTATCTGGATGTTTAACCTGATAGTCCGGAATCTATTGTCCCGCTATGACAGAATTACAAAGGTAGTCCCATGGCCACCACTTTTCATTTTGGATTTCGAAATCGTCTAATATTTCGAAGACCTGCATATGGTCGACTAGGTCATGACAATGTGATCCAGAATAGTATTAGATAATGTAACCGATTTATTTTGGGCATAATAGTTTTGGGAAGTGTTGTTACTGGCCTTCTAAAGAATGTGAAGATTGGCCGGGATCAACATTCCAATTCCAAATATGTCACATATTTTCCGATTGAAAAATATTTCAATTTCAGTTATAAAAGCCAACAGTTATAAAAGCCAAATCAAACAAGCAAAAAAGCTGTAAGTTCAGCCGGGCCGAACTCTAAATACCCTTCACTATTTGGAACAAATTTAAAAATTTTCAAAAAAATAAAATCCGTTAAAAATTCTGTTAAAATTTTAAAATAGCCGTTATATTGGGTTCTATACGAAGACGTGGACCTACATAGGTAATTTTGCCATAGGCCATTACAATATTCAAATATGACACTTGAAAAAAAATCCGGTGATCAATTTTGCTAAAATCATCAAAATACCACATATAAGAAGGGGCTATACAAAGACCTGGACCTGCATGGACTGTAGTACCCATTAGGAACTTCAAATGCAAAATATGAAACAATTTCGGTGAATATTGTACCTAAAATCGTCAAAATACCGAATATAGAGAGGTACTGATATATGGGGTCTATACGAATACCTGCAAAGACAATTTTCTGTCATAGACTGTAGTTCGCATTACGAACTTTAAATACGAAATTTGAAACAACTACGGTAAATGATGTCGCTAAAATCATCAAAATATCGAATTTTGGGAGGTACCGTTATATGGAGGCTATACGATACGATATCGTGGACCAATATAGAGATTTCTCTCCAAGGGGTAAAGTACTCAGAAGGAACTCCTTTTGTGGATTTTCAGACAATTTTATTGAAAAAACAAGTAATCAAAGGCTACAGTCGAGCGGGGCCGACCGTTGAATACCCTACAACACTATAATAAACGATACAGTTTATATAGGCGAGATACTCGAAAGAATGCCACAAGATATTATGACAAATTATAAAAGAAAACCATCAGGTTTCGTTCTCTAATTTTCGAATAATAGCAACATAAACTAATTTGCTCATTTCCAATTTATTGGTTATTAAATGGTCTTCCTAGATCTGGAACCAATATTCCCAAAAAGACCTATAATCTCTCAGAAGTGGCAAAAGATTAACATTTATTATTGGTTTTTGACTGAAACGCATCTATAGGAGATACAGACATTTGACTATATTCTTCAACGAAATCAGCGTTACATAAATAGTCAGAAGTGCGTCTTTCCTGTATTTGTGAATTCTCCAAAAATTCACTGGAATGGACATTTTTGTATTTTGTCTACAAAAGTTGGCAAACTATTTCACAAATTGAATATTTTTGGATGGCCATCCAAAACAGCTTGGCTTTTTGCAATGCCCGTTACCCCCATTCAAATGTGCGTGAGAATCGGGCAATAATTACGACCTGCTGAAAATTTTGCAGTTGTTTGGTCCATTTCAACCCCTAAATATATGGCGATCATCTCCAAAAAGATTAGGCTTCTAATCCGACCCTCATCTGATCCCCATGCAAAATTTCGTTAGGATCGGACCATAAATGCGATCTGTATATGATATCCTGATATCCTAACTACTTAGTTTTGTTAGCTGTAGAAATATTACCAAATGTTTAATTCAAAATGAAAATATGCCAAAAATATGACAAAATTGAAAAAATATGAGAAAATTTTACAAAATCAATATTTTCATCTTTAGAGAGATATTTTTATGCGATTTTTTTAGACGTTTTTTCTTTCCTGCCAAGAGGCCATTCTGAATTAATGAGAACTGTCGAAATCAGTTCAGCCGTTCCCGACATAAAAGAAATCTTTCAAGCATATCTTCTTTGATAGACATATATGTCGCACATATTTTGCTATATATCCGATTTGTTGGATGTTAACATCAATGTAAAGATCAGAACTAACCTTGTCATGGCTTTGTGATTTCGACGGGATTTAAAATATTCGCGTTTTAATGAAAAATTTTGAATTTTTTCAGCACAAAAGATATGGTCTATTTTACCCACTAAATATTACCCGATGACCATCAAAATTGGTAGGCTTCTTCCCTGCCCTAAACTCTAGCTACATGCGAAGTTCCGCGTCGATTGATCTATAATTGCGACCTGTATAGCTACTGCAAAATCCG